CATGTTCATCATGAAAGGAAAGCCTGGTGGTCGTATCGAAACTCACGAGGTGCCAACGCTTCCATCTGGACACGTCTACGCAGTTCAAGAGAAGGCATGGATGGACGCGACGGTGTGGAAGTCCTACCTGAGTAATGACCTTCACGACCACATCGAGGAAGCTTCGGTCCTCATCCTGACAACTTTGAGTCTCATGTTTCGGAAGAGTCGTACAGAATTGTCCAAGAGGAGTTGGGATCGCACCTTTGTCCGCTTCCACCGAATGCAACGTCTTTCTGTCAGCCGCTCGACGTTGGCGTTATGGCCCCATTCAAGCGCCATATGCGAGAGCTTTGGCTCTACGAGGAAATGATTGAGGGTGACGATGAGGATCCACTTTCTTTCACCGCGAAGCAGAAGAGAATGGCATTGATCAAGCGAGCGATTGCAGCTTGGAATATGGTGCCGGCTGACGTGATCCGAGCCAGTTTCGACAAGGCCATTCCTCGCCAGCAGTTGAGCCAAATTTAATTTTGTCAATTTTTTTCATGCCAAGTCATTTTACTTTCTTTTTGTATTGAATTGTTTGAATAATTGAAATAATAATAAAAAGTTTGACACTGCCCGGGACTTGAACCCGGACCCCTTCCTCAATTGATGTAATGCCGTCGCGCTAATCCACTGCGCCACCGCGTCAAACGCTTACGCTTATACTCGAACTCAGCAATCAGTGACTTCGATTTTGACTTCCAACCAATTTGGCCACCGTGTCAATGAATGACCCGCTACAATCCACGCAAAACCGCTACTTCGGGAGAGTGTGGAGTTTGCACAATATTATTAACTTCAAATTTTAAAGATTGATGAGTACACCGGAATAAAAATACTACTTCCTTTGCAATCAGTGGCCGCACCGAATTTGTACTTCGTAGTCAGCTGGCCGATCAAACGAAAAAAGATGTTGAAGTCGAAGAAAGAAGTAGGCCTTGCATTCCGTCGTTCCCTGTAGAGGCAACTTCTCACCATCTGCTTTTGCTGTAAACACCGCGGTCATACCCATTGAGTACTTTTCGCCGGTGGAAATCTTGGAACTGCCGCCACGAACAGTCCAAATGAAGCTGGGAGGTACGTACGTTGTAGTATACCCCCGTTTCGTCGACGTTGAATACCCTATCTTTGTCGTAAAGGCGGTAGTCAAGGTGAAATTCCTTTCGAAATTCCATGGACTTTTGTCAGCACGGTTTGGTTGAGCTTACTCTTCGTAAGCCGTTGACGACAAAATAGGTGGCGAGATCAAAATCGTTGAAGAGGTTTGAGGAGCGAGGCGATGGATGCTGTCGTCTTCTTTGTCACCAGGTAGGATATCCGCCATTCTCGCTGATTTAGCTTGATCCATGTGATCAGCGTTCACGCTCGTTTTCTCTAATATTCATTGTAAACTCGACAAAGCTTGGTGGATCGGGAAGTGCTTTGCATCGGCCACCTGGCTCGGTCTTCCTGCGTTTCTTGTCGCCATCGTACGACAAGAGCTCATCTCGCAGATTTTGCATTATATTCGTATGGTGCGGCGATGTGCATCAAAGACATGAGCAACAACGCGACCAGACATCGTCACTAGGAGACTGATAGCCTTGAGCTTCGTTGAAATTGGATAGGGTGAGCGCCTCATATTTTTTTGTGCACCACTTCAAAATCCCGGGGTTTCGAGGTTTCGGGGCACGAGCATAAAAATTCGGGCAATGATATTGCGGTAAGATGATGCTGAAATTGATTGGATAATATTCTAGGTAAGTCACAAACTTCTTCGGTGGGCGTTGCATTCTGTCGTTCCCATTATATCTCTTGCAACGACCTGGTGCTCCACGAACAACCACCAAACCGCGGCGGCGGATTCCGTACCTCCCAGGTCACGATGACGCCGGAAATCATAGCCGCCTTGGAGCGTTATGTAAACAAAAACTGTCGATACACTTTTTTGAACGAAATGCAAGAGTTTGTGACAACTGATATTCTATGTACATTAATGTGGATTCAAACCATCAGCTGCTATGTAGTCGGAGAGCATTGCATGATAAATTAAGTGCGCATCGAGCCTGTCACCTGTAACAACGACATATGTGATGACAATTGAAATTTGAACTCCATGATCATCTGCAAGATGGCGACTTTATCGTAAACTTTTACGAAACCAACTACAATTGTATTGCAACAGATATCATGGACGCTGAAAGGTCGGTACTCCAGCTGCAATCACGCGGCGCCAATTTGCAAGCCGATGCGCAGTATCCGTTGCAATCGGTCTTGTTTGCTTCCGACTTAAACGCGGCAGCATCAAGATGGAGAATGCCAGCTTTGTGGAACATTTTACCAAGCCGTGACGGAAAGCGAGCATGGGCGGAAGGAAGCGTGTTGTCATAGTTTTGACAATACGCCCGTCGTTTGCTGACTGAGGTACGAGTTCACGAACGTGACATGATGCTTTCGTCCCTTTTGTCCGTACCCGCCCATGCTTAACTCTATCGTGAGCAGTTTCAGCGATTTCAATCCCCGCATTAAGGGTTACACTCACAAAGCGCCGCTCAAATGCTCGGCCGCGGCGACAACATTACATCCCTGGAGCGTAGGATGGCGTCATTGGAAGGAGCTGCCCTTGAGTACCTGCCTCGTATCACCCAGGCGTTGGTGGTTCGTGAGGTTTGTTCTGCCAATGCAATGTCGAGAAGGCGATTTGAGAACATGGTGTATGGCCAGTAAGTCGCATTAGATGTGAAATTTTCGCATTGAGATGTGAATATGCTTGTTGAGATTGTTCTATAAACCTTCCTGACGTTATCTATATCACATTGGTTGGAAGTCTATTCAACTTGACCAGGAAGTGGTGATGAATAAAGCAATGTAATTGGCTAGTGATATTATTCTTCCTTTGTGCATTTTTAAAAATTTAGGTCGCCACGCATTCATGAATTTTTGACGGTAAAATCGACACAGCGACCTCCAAATAGTCTTGCGCTGTGGCATTTAGCATTTAAGCAGCAAGTTCTGCAGCTCCTTCAGACTTCTACCCTGCTACATGTCAACAAGGAACTTGGCATCCATACATCTCTTTTTCCTCCTTTTGACTATCACAATTTGTAATTTTGTATCCAAACTTCTGAAATTTCAAAAAAATAAAAAAAAAATAAAAAGTTTGACACTGCCCGGAAGCGAGGCCAAACCCCTTTCTCCAGCCATTGCACAAGACCATTGCGTCACTGTATCAAACGTTTAAATTGAAGTGCTCATCTCGTACACCAATACGTAATCTGAACATCTATGGCACATCATGAGTAAACAAGGTCAGCTTATCATGTCAATGGCGACGTGCTACAAAAATAATTGCCTAGTCAAGCAACTACTGTACAATTTCTGAATATGGAAGCGTAGTTCGAACTTCCAGGCCAGGCATTCCCCAGTATTCTGAAATCCTTCGAGGACCACAATGTCTAACCATTCCGTCGTTCACTGTCTTGCCGAACCAACATATTCTTGACAATTCACCAACCATTCAGGTGCACTTGAGCAAACTCGAGGACAAGAGGATCACAATGAAAAATTAACAAAAGTCAAATCCCCAATGTTGCAACTTTCGCATATGAGGCATCATGGAATTGTACCTGTGGCGAATGATTGCTGTCTTAGGAATGCCAGATTGTGCTGCCAAGTCACGTAACATTTGGCCGCCGTTGCGAGACACAGCCTTGATGGAGATCTCGTTGTCACCTCCCACTGGCCGTTCCCGCCCAAAACGATCCGAATAGTATTACTAAAAAGGAGGGCATCTCGAACTTGTGAGTTTATTCAGCGATGTTTTCGCGACACAACCGAAGTTCGAAGTGTATCTTGGCGTTCCTGACGGATTTTCTTGTGGACATTTGCATTTGTTTCCAGATGTGGCGATTTGGTGTGCTGCGTTTTGGTGTGCTGCGTCGGCCGTCGGCGCTGGTCGCGCGAGCACCGAACGCGGTCAACATGTCGTCCAAGCCCCCTCGCATCCTGTGTACGGACCCGATACACCCCTCTGGGGTCGACTTTCTCCGCAGCCAAGGCTACATCGTGGACACGACTGCGCTGTCGCATACTCAACTCGTCGCTGCCGTACCTGCCTACGATGGCCTCATCGTGCGCTCGTGCACGCAGGTCGATCGCCAAGTCCTTGACGCAGCTGAAAACCTCCGTGTCATCGGCCGTGCAGGCACCGGCGTGGACAACATCGACGTTGTGACTGCAACGAAGAAGAGCATCCTTGTCATGAACACGCCTGTTGGGAACAACGTGTCGGCCGCCGAGTTCACCATGGGTCTACTTACCTCATTCAACCACTCTATCATCTCGGGTGTACATGGGAAGACCGTGGGTATCGTTGGGCTCGGCCGCGTCGGGTCAGAAGTGGCCAAGCGATGCCAGGCCTTCGGGATGAACGTGCTTGGGTACGATCCACTTGTGTCGGATGCAGCGGCCAAAGCGTCGGAAATCGAGCCCGTGACGCTCGAGGATCTCTGCGCGCGCAGTGACTTCATCACACTGCACTGTCCCTATACTCCCACGACCAGGAACCTCCTGAATGCTGATCGCCTGCAGCGCTGCAAAGACGGCGTGCACATCGTCAACACGTCGCGGCACCAACTGATGGACCCCGACGCGCTCCTTCACGCTCTGGACAGCGGTACTCTAGCCTCGTCCAAATTCCGTGCCTCATGACTCCACCGTAGGCAAAGTCAGCGGCGTTGCGCTGGACATGGTCCCATCCAACCACGCGCTGTACTCGCACCCAAAGGTCGCGACGACACCGCACATCGGAGCCAACACGACCGAGGCCCAGGAACGTGTGTCTAGAAAGATTGCGACGCAACTTCACCACGCTCTGCGTCAAACCAAGTTTGAGAACGTCCTGAACGCGCCCAACTTGGACCTCCTCGGGCAGTCGGTCCAACCGCCGTACTATGTGCTGGCGGAAAAACTCGGAAGCTTGCACGCGCAACTGCTCGGGCCGCAGCGCATCAAAAAGATTACAGTTGTTGCGCAAGGCAAGGACGTCAAGGAGCAGCTCCTCCACGCGGTATGCCACGGCCTCTCGCGCCACTTGCTCGAGCAGGAAATTGGAGACGACGCAGTGGCAATCCTGCAGTCGCGCGGCATCGGTCTCGTCGAACACAACCAGGAAGACGTAGACAACAGCAGTTATTCGAACCTGGTGCAAGTGACGTGCCACCTCGACGATGGCAGCACGCGGTCACTCACCGGTACGGTCTTCATGAAGAGCCAACTGCGCCTTGTCCAGTACAACGCGCTCAGCTTGGACGCGGTCTTGAGTGGGTGCATGGTCTTCTTCAACAACAACGACCGTCCTGGTGTCTTGGCTTCCGTGACCCAAGTGCTTGCGTCGCATGCCATCAACATTGGAGCGTTTGGGCTCGGCCGCACGGATGCGTATGCACTCGGGGTGCTGAATTTGGATGAAGTGCCTTCGGAAGACGCGCTGGCGGCGCTTGCCCAAGTCGACGAGCTGTCCAATGTGCGTTTGGTCAACTTGCTGGACATGCCGCTGAAGCGCCAGTTGTCGAGCCATGCGTCCACTAGCAACGCGACCGACAACGTACCAAAGGTGAAGCCCCAATCGATGAACTTTGGATCGGGACCGTGCAAAAAGCACCCAGAGTATGCCTTGCATAAGCTTCCAAGCCGTGCTCTTGGCCGCAGCCATCGATCGGCGCTGGGAAAGGGAATTTTGCATGAGGCCATCGTGAAGACAAAGCAAGTCCTGCAGCTTCCGGCGGACTACGTGTGTGGGATCGTTCCAGCGTCCGATACGGGGGCGTTCGAAATGGCCATGTGGAACCTCCTCGGCCCCAAGCCAGTGGACATGGTGTACTGGGACGCGTTTGGCAAGGGCTGGTTCGAAGACGCAACGAAGCAGCTCCAGCTTGACAACGTCCGAGAAATCTCGGCGCCGTACGGGTCGCTGCCCGACTTGACTCGAGTCAACAAGGACCACGACGTATGCTTTACGTGGAACGGGACGACGAGTGGCGTTCGTGTGCCCAACGTCGACTGGATCGCCGACGACCGAACCGGCCTCGTCCTGAACGACGCGACGTCGGCCGCGTTTGCGATGGACATTCCGTGGCACAAGATCGACGTGTGCACGTTCAGCTGGCAAAAAGTGCTTGGTACACTGCAATCATGTCGTGGATTGCGATCTTGACGCATGTTTAGGTGGCGAGGGAGCCCATGGGATGCTCATCCTGTCGCCGCGCGCGCTGGATCGCTTGTCGACGTTCCACCCGACGAACCGCCCGATGCCCAAGATCTTTCGCCTCAAGAATCAAAAACACGAAATCATGATGGAGATTTTCCAAGGCAGCACGATCAACACCCCGTCCATGCTGTGCGTCGAAGATTACGTGAACGCGCTCGAGTGGGCCACCGCCCAAGGCGGCATGGCGGGCCTCGTCGCCAAAGCCACCGCCAACTTTAACGTAATTGATGCGTTTGTGGAGAAGAACAAGCACTGGGTCGACTTCCTCGCGATCGACCCAGCGACACGGTCGACGACGTCTGTTTGTCTCGTGCTTCACGACACGTCCAAGGACCAGCTCAAGCGCATGACGCAGTTGCTCGAGCAACACCACGTCGCGGTCGACATTGGAAGCTACAAGGATGCACCAGCCGGGCTGCGCATTTGGTGCGGCGCGACGGTCGAGACTGCGGATTTGGAAGCGCTTGTACCGTGGCTAGAGTGGGCTTATGTCCAAGTGCAAGCGGACAAGTAATCAATTCACATCTCAACGCGGCAAGTTCATTTTGCTAGCTTGGACGACTCACTATGGTTTGCGATGTATTCGATGGGAACCTGGTTTGATCTGAGCGCGTGCGGGACCTGTGGGGGCGATCTTGTTCGACTTTAACTTGGGCGGCGCTTTACCAGACGACCCTTTGACGGGTTTTGTCATCTTGACTGGCCGCGCTAAAGAACAAGAAGATGAGACATGCAATGCCTGGTTGCGTGGCTGGCGTACAGAGCTTGATCTCGTCCATTTGCGTGAGGAAGAACCCGCCGCCACTGTCGTTTTTGCAGTGTGCCGACATGGCCGCGGGCAGAGTCGATTGCTTCGCCTTTGCTGGTCGAGAGGGTTTATCAGACGATTGGTTCGTGATGATGCGAGAGCTGTTGGCTTTTGCAGTTGGATTCGAAGTCTTTCCTTTGGACTTCAGAAGCGGTGGAAGCACAACACCATTTGGATTCGGCCGCAGTTTGAGCTTGGGGCGAACAAAGGTCGGCTTACTGAGGCGGTCGACGACGCTCACTTGGTGCTTCTTGGGGACAGCTTTCCGGTCGGGTGGTTGATTCAAGGATCTTCCTGGATGAGTAGTGGCCAAACTCAATTCGCCCTGCTGCCGCCGCTTCCTGACGTCGGGCGGGAGAGCGTTAAGTGTTGACGTGAATCCGTGGATGGGATTGGCGAGGCGGTCCACGGTTTGTTTGGATGCTCTTTTCGGAAGGGTGCTTCGGGTGCCGTATCGGTTCTCAATGAACGAAAAGCGTGCGCGAACGGCGACGGGAGCTTGGACAGGAGGGGTTGCTTGGCGCGGCGACGCCAACAATGCCAACAGGTCAAACTGTTGGAGAAGTTGAGAAACAGGAGGCCGGGGCTGCTGCGGCAAATCCCCTGGGTCGTCGTCGACCTCTGGCACATCCTCCCGAGGCAATCCGGCAGCCGACCACACGTCGACCGAATAGTTCATCGATCTAAAATTAGGTGAATGCCATCGCTACTGGGACACCACTGCAGGCAACAGCACATTTAGTCGTTTTGAAGTGCTATCCCGAAATGGAACCTGTGGAATTGCTACGATAAGCCAAAGGTTGCGCGGCGGGAAGGCGGGGACACTTCAAGGGTGTTCCTACGGCATGCGCACAATACTTGGAATCGTCGCATCAAGCTCGTCGCGCTTCACCGCCGTTGGCTGCATCACGGATGCACGATTTCTTACATGTTTGGCCAGTACTGCCAAGTATGCCTGTCCCGTTTGCACACATTGCCCACTTTTGTCCATGCGCGACCCACCTACCACAACATACCCGGAAGGGTTGTAAGTAAGAATGTTGGGGGTTGACATGGGAGCGTTGTTGAGACTGGTGTTTGAACTTGTTGCTTGGACGCGACAATGCGACGGTCAAACTAATTGCAGGCGACAACGACGGGAGTACTTTTGTCGCGGGGCTTCCAGTCCTTGCCAGCATCATCGAGCAAAATGCAAACAATCTGTTGCTGCTCCACTTGCTGCGACGGAGTCAAGGACACTCGCTTGGCCAGAGGACGATTGCTGATGGCTGACGAGCAAAACACCCACATCACATCGACGTAGGACATTTCTGATAGTACAAGAATGGTTCTTACCACCACTGGAATGACTGGTCTCACAACAGTATAGACTTCACTCTAGACTAGGGGCAAACTCTTTATTCCGCGCGGATGCCCGGGACATGGAGAAATCCCGAAGGCTTCCGCCCACGACAAAACATTAGTCAACATCGATCCACTCCGTCGCTCCAACAGAGGCAGCTACTTCGATATTTGCACCTACCAAGCCAACAACCGAGTCTCCCTCTGTTCGCACTCCAACACCGTCGATATCCCACCACCAATGAAACCACACACAGTCCTACAATCACTAATCACGCAGCCACCTCGCCGAACCGACGAGTGCTCCCGAGATTTCTGACGATCCGGACGAGACATCCAAACGACAGGAATTTCCCGCGGCACCCAAGCAGCCCCCGCCAGTTCACAACGCCTGCGCCACCACTCCTGGTGCCGACGCCATCATTAAGCTACAGGTATCCATCGCACGCGCGTGGCGATCTGGCAGCAGCCGAGCGGCCCGTTTCGATTGGCAGTCTCGCCCGGTAAGTGTTGAAAGGCGGCGTTGTCCGGGTGCACCGGAAGGCTAAAAATACAGGCGTGCGTGTTGTTGAGTACGTTCAGTGGGTGGTGTTCATTCTTGAATCTGTTTGCTTTCGACCATGCCCGCCAAGTCCGCTGCCAAGCAAACCCAAAAGGCTGTCCAACAAGCTCCCCAGCAACAAAGAGCGCAACCTGCCAAGGCTGCCCCGTCGCCGGCCAAGGCGGCCGTGCAACCCGTCCAACCACAAAAACAGACGCAACAGAAAAATGGTGGTCCCCAAAAGCAAGAAAATGCATCGCCCAAGCAAAGCCAGGTGTCCAAGGCGGCGCCTGCATCGGCCCCTCTGGCCAAGCGGGTGTCCTTGACTCCGTCGCAGCAAGTGGAGCAGCAACAGATTCTTAGCATTTTGCTGGATGATGCTGGCAAGGACTGGAAGCCCCG